TGCACACTCACTGCACACTCACTGCACACTCTGCACACTCACTGCACACTTCTTACATACTCCTTGCACACACATTACACGCTTCTTGAACGCTCATTTGCACACTTATTGCTCACTCCTTGCACACTCTTTGCAGCACTGCCAGGGCACCAACTCCCAGGATGGCCGAGCAATTGATTGTTACATATTTTTATTTCATTCCTTGTACTATTTTGTATTTATTTTGACTGACACACTACTTTGTTTATAAATTGTTATTCGCATTTTGAGTTTTATTGTTACTCAAGGAAATTAATAACTGTGATTTTGTGAGGTTTGAACCTTTGCTTTACTCTGATTATGGGGCAGCATGTAGGAAAAGTGCAGGCTCCGAAGGAAAACAAAAGACCTCAACTTGTGTAGATACAGGCAAATTCGAAAGTTCTGTGTCCTGCTTAGAGAAAATGGAGAGCAATGGAGCTGTAACTAGTGCAAAGACAGGAACAGGTAAAAGGCCAACCAGTGTGATGATGCTGAAATTTCAGCAGTCTGCACAGGGCTAGAAGACAGGAATGAGGGGGTTGTAGTACAGTACAAGAGTAGAAGGAGCCAGTATCACTACAGTCAGTGTAGGTCTGTGTGATGATGAAAGTTTTGTGCTGTTCCTGTGCTAGTTCTTCAGAGGCACTAACTGTTGCTGTTCACAGACTTTCTGAACTGGGTGGGTCCCCTCCAGAAAAAGCAATGTTATTCATGAATTGTCTGAGTTTCCGTGTGATCAGACTGGATACAAAGGAGAAGTTGTCAGTGCTAACCATACAGGATGTTAGGGAGATTATGTCTGGAGCCAGCACGTGTGTTGTCAGAGTGGATGGGACTCCATATCTGTGTAAAGCTGATGAGGTTAGAAAGATATGTGAGAATTTGGGAGCAACTGGGGAAAAAAAAAAAAAAAAAAAAAAAAGGCAAAACAAAACAACAAAAATAAAACAAAACAAAAAACAGAAAATACTTCGAGTTCTGGGCAGATCTCAAAGAAAACGCAGAATTGGCATCATCAGCTTTTATTAGGTTAAGCATTGGTAGAGGAACACTGCACATAAGCTTTGCTGGAAGGAAATAAAGATGTAAATACAGCTGTAATTAATACATTTAATTAACACACGGTTACTCCCACAGTGAGACAGGGAATGGGGGTTATGGCCACTGCATTACTCATTGTTCGTCCCTACCAAACCTTGGGGTTATCCACTTGGTTATCCAGGTTTTTTGGGGGGGGATAAAGGAAATATTCTTCATCAGGAGCAGTGCACAGAATTCCCTCCGAGGCAGCACCTGCACTGGGTGCAGTCTGAGCCTCATTAGATCCTTACAGTAACTACTGAGAGCAGAAGAGCATTAAAGATTTTCAGTAAAATGTCCTTTTTTTTGGCCACAGAATTCCAGTCTCCACGTGGGCAGCACTTCCTCGCTGCGGGTGCCTGGTGTGCAGCAGCACGGATGCCCAGCCTAGGAAGGAGATTGATATCCTGGTGTTGAAATTTGAGCTTTCCTGGCTTTGTGCTGATGTGTAGAGATTCCATTGCCACCCGGAGAGGGAGGAGGGAGTTTCTGGGAAGTGTTTTGTTTCAGATAAATCATCCAAAACAACCCAAAACTGATTCTGTTTACATGTCCCACTTTGTAGGGGAAGTGCTGCTAAAAGTGAAAATTCACTGTTAGCTGCAGTAGATCCACCATAGAAAGTAGATTCACTTGCAATTAAAAATACCATTGTAGCAAGTGTGAACTAAAAAAAACCAGAAACCGAGTCCAGTGTCCTTTTCTGACTACTACAACTGAGGCAGTTTTTCAGTTTTTTTTTTCATGATCTGTACAAATTAAAAGCAGCTTTAAGTCAGAAGCAAGGACTAGTCTGGAAACCTGACCTGTGCACACCAACCATCCAGATTGTGAAAAAGACACACTTTGAGCGTGGTGTTAGAAAGAAAATTGGGATGTTTTAAAACCCCAATATGTTTAAAACATCTATGCAGCAAAAGAAAATATTCTATCAGAGGATGAAAGGGAAAGAGAGTTCTCCTTGAATGATTGTATTAGGAAAATAGTCATTGAAGGAGACAGTGCAGTCAGCATTATAAACAAACATTGTATAGTTATTGCAGCTCTAACTGAGATTTTGTGCTGAGGAATAAAAAAAACCCCATACCTCCTATGGCAGACACGAGTCTTTGTGTTCAGTTTCTGGGGTCAGGGGAGTTCTGTAATTATAGTTTTCATAGGTATGATAATAGCTATATGAAAAAGAAGAAAACAATGAATTGCCTTGTAAAAGAACACTTGCTTTGGTTTCCTTTAAGTAAAAGAGGCTTGAAATAAAATAACATATCCACACCATGGATTCCAGGTTGTATCATTTGCAAGTTGAAGGTACAAAATTACAAGGCGCTGAGGCAAAGATTTCAGGTGTATCAAGAGTATAAGTTTGGGCTTTGCACCAAGGGGCAGGAACAAACAGCCAGAGCTGCCTTACCCTTCCTTCTGCTTGGAAATTATTTTCCAGACAACACCGGCCCCCAGGAGCAGCAGAACTGCTGCAGCTGCCACTCCTGAGGGAGAAGAACAGGGTTATTCTCATTGCTGTAAAATACAGCAAATGCACAACAGGGTGTGTCTGCCACTGAGGCCACTGAGCTTTTTGGGGACAAAAATGTTTGTAAGCTGCTTACCGAGACCTATTGACCCGGACTTGGGGGATGCTGGAGGGAAGGGGAAAAAAAAAAAAAAAAGGAAAATCAGCAAATCGTTCTGCCAAAACACAGCGTTTCTCAAATGTCCTTAATCAATACCGATTAACCTTTCTAGAATCATAGGATGGTTTGGATTGGAGGGATCTAAAAGCTCATGCACTTCACACCCCTGCCATGGACAGGACACCTTCCCCTATCCCAGGCTGCTCCCAGCCCTGTCCGACCTGGCCTTGGGCACTTGAGGGATCCAGGAGCAGCCACATCTTCCTCATGCCAATGTCTCACCGCTGAGACCCACAGCACCAGATTTCTCAGAACCACACCCTTGCAAACTTCCTCTTCGCAACAATACAGATATTTGCATGTCCAGAATGCATTTGCATGTTTCTGTTTGTGCTTTGTTTTACGTTCCACTCACTCAGTTTACAGGCTGGCACGGGTGGGTCCCAGCTGAAATCCTCTTGGCACTGGATGTGGCTGATGCCTTCCAGCACGTAACCATCGTCACATTCAAGAGTGATGTTAGCCCCAGGGCGATAAGTATTTCCTTTAATGGCTTTTTTAATACCTTGGACATCCGGAAATTCACATCGGATCTCTGAAATTGGAAGCAATAAAAAGAGGGAACACAAAATCTAAAAAAAAAAAAATACAGCTGTGGGTTATTTAGGACATTGCTCTTGAACTCCTTCTGAGTGTAGCCAGGAATTAATTGCCATTCCGCAGAATAATTCATTTCCTTGTGCTGCAGAGCTGGGGCAATGCCTCAGTCCCACGTGGGATTCCAAGGAAGCACAGAAACAAATTATTCAGTGATTATTAAACAGATTATTCGGAGAAACAGACTCACCTTTGCACTGCGGGAGGGGCTGGCTCCAGGATCCCGACTCCGTGCAGTTGATGAAAGCATTCCCAAGCAGTGCAAATCCAGGATTGCAGCTGTAGGAGACCGCGGCTCCGGAGGCAAAGGTGGCTGCGGTGCTGCCTCTCACCTTCCCGTTGGGGATGTTTGGAGGCTGCAGACACTCCACAGCTGGGCAGTCAGGGAGACACAAACATCTGGATGCTGAAGGTGGCCAGGGAGGGACTGAGGGGCTGTCCCCCTGCAGCCCCGACTGTTCCCTTTGAATTTCTTCCCCTGAACTCGGCTCCCAGACCCCTCTAACTCCAGCAGGTTCAGAAAACCTGAGCTTGTTCTTATCACACATTCTGTACTCAGATTTAGACCCGCTACAAACCTTCCCCTAAGGCAAGGCTTGTTAAATATCCTTTGTTCTTCACACTCTGCAGCCAAAACACACCTTGACAGACGGGAGGGGTGTGGCTCCAGGCTCCAGACGCTGTGCAATAAATGGATGCTGTCCCCAGGAGGGAGAAGCCAGGCTCACAGATGTAGTTCACAGATGTTCCCGGAGTAAAAACTGCTTTTACTGGGCCAAGGAAAGACCCGTGGGTGATATTTGCAGGCTTGGAGCAACGCAGCACTGAAAACAAGAGACGTGCAGATCAAAACAGAGCTCAGAGGGGCAAGAGGGAAAACTTCTGAGCAGCTGGGGAAGGCTGAATGCTCCCCCCCAACAGCCCTGCCCAACCCTCTGCAAAATTCCCTCAAAAAAGCAGGACGGGTTGGGAGGAGGAGTTGGTGATGAGTAAATTAAATCTTGCCTCTTCAGCTAAGAGACCTACCTGGCTTTGTTGTGGTATCAGGGTGGTGAAAACGTTCTGCCACTCCATCTAAATGCAGCATGAAGAGTTTAAAAACATGGTTGAGCAAATAAAATGCGCAGATTTACCTTCATTTCCCATCGTCCTGGTGTTACATTTCCAAGGAAAAATTCACTGCTCTTTGATAGTCAGTGACCTGCAGCTACCAAATCCCTCACTTCCAGGGAATGAGGAGAATGTGGATTATGGATTGCAACAAGCAGTGTGAGAAAGTGCAAATCATGCCAATACTTACAGCTTTACCCAAGCCCTGGCTCATCTCCTGCGTGTGAAGAGAGACATAAATGAAAGGAAAAAATTCTGGTTTCTCCTTTAAGTAATCGGAGCAAACAGGAAAAATAAAACCGGCTTTGGTTTCAACGAGTGGGCAGGAGAAATGAGGAGGAATGTGCAATCCCAGCAAGGCTGAGCTGATCCTTACCCTGCTCACAGACAGGGAGGGGTGGGTGCCACCTCCTGTCCCCTTGGCACTGGGACGTGGGGTGGCCCCTCAGGGTGAAGCCTCGGCGGCACCTGAAGGTGACAAAGTCCCTGTAGGTGTAGCGGGGCTTGGGGACAGTCACCCTCCCATTCCGGATCTGTGGGACCGGGCACAGCACCCCTGAAAGAGAAATTCCTATTTAGGGACACAAAAATGTGTGTGTGCCGTAATGAGCACATCCTAAAGTCCCCTCTCAGTGTGCTCAGAGCGTTTCACAGGTACCACTTAGAGGCTCAGGTAAGAAAAATTCCAACAACTGAGGGGTTTTAGTTATTTTAGGTACCTCAAAGGTACCACAGTATTAAATATATAAACAGTTTAGTGCCCATAAACAGAATAGTGTGAATATATTCTAATAAATAGGTGAAATGGGGTAGAAATCTGTCAGTACTGTCATTCTCATGAATGCTTTACTATCCCAACCTCGTGCCTTCCAAAGCAATTACAGCTGAAGAAAAAACTAATTGCAATGATCAACCCCTGCAAAACAGGCTTGTGCTTTGGATAACAGTACAGGATTTGGAAAATTCCATTTCAATCGTACTCAAAATACCACTCTTCTACTACAAAACGCATTTTTGACTTGATTTCTTATTTATGGTTGTGAAACAAAAGGGACAAGTCCCTGCAGGCATCTCACAGCTCTTCAGTCTGCATTGCTGTGACAGATCAAAGCTTTACATCTGGAAGATTTTTAGGAGAAAACAAATATGCAAGCATTAAAAAAAAAAAACTTTCCCAGAGGAATCTGATGCTTAAATAGTCTTATTCCTTTAATTCTATTTATTTAATGGAAGTAGTTTTTAATTTTAAGGACTTAATGTGGCAATTCTGGCCCTGATCTAGAGGTGACCTACTTACTCTGACAGACGGGAGGCAGACCAGTCCAGGCAACATCTCGTCCCAAAACCTCACATCTCCTGAGGGGCTGTCCAACCAGTCTGTACCTGGGGGTACAGAGAGAGAATTATCAGCTCACACCAAGTCCTTCAGCTTGGGTTTTGCCCTCCCCAGAGGTTTCCTTCTGCAGCTCCCAGCTGATCACCAAGGTCTCTCTGCTGGTTTGACCCGTGGGGATGAAGGACACCAAGTTCCTTCTTCCCAGATCCAAGAGGAGCAACACTGACCCCAAAAACTCTGGGTTAGACTGGGCAGGTACTAAATCAGGATTTCCAGAGGGCTGGAGCCTCCTTGCTGCCACTCTCAGCTCCTGCTCCAGGGCCATCTGAGAAGGAAAACTGAAACTGGTTTGCAAATTAATCTATTGAGCACAGGAGGGGAAAAATGAGACAATTCTGCCTTTCCTGAGCAGGCAACTACGGCGAAATTGGAACCAAAATTCCAGTTCAGGTGTGCTGTGGGAGAACAGTGCAGAGGAGTGGGCTGTGCTCCTTTACCCAAGACCAAGCTCAGACACAGAGTCAGTGTGGGACTCACCCTTTATCACACGTGTGGTTCACGGTGGACCCAAAAAGGAGATCTGTGAGAACAACAACTCTGCCATTCCTGGGGGGGTCTGGGTGGCTACATTGCTTCCCTGGGAAAGAACAAGGCTGAGTTTAAACCCCTCTCTTGAGGCTGTGTAACACACTATGAGAAGGCATCTTAAGGTTCTGTCCAAGTTCTGACACCAATAAAAATGAGGTTTTGAAAAGGCCCAAATCGGCCCAGACCATGTGACTAGTAAAGCCATGTAAGAACCCTTCCTTCAAAAAATCGCTCTAAGAAACCCGCAAAACAGACAATTTCCAACAACCAACACCAAAGGGATGGAGCTATTCACTTTTACAGAACTCTAGGGCTTCAGACCACGTGTGGTTTTGGAGGCAAGTCAGAGTTTGGGGCACCCCGGGGCGTCTCGAGTGTCCCAGCCGGCAGCTGTAGCGCACGGTGTCCCCAACTGCAAATTCCAGCTGGTTTCTGTATTCCCTGGTTAGCTCAGCAAAGGTCAGGTTTGGAGGTGCACCACAGCCACCTGCCAGGGGCAAAAAAAAAAAAAACAGAGAGAAACAGGGATGTCAACACAAAAGTTGTTTCAAAATGTATTTTGAGTGTGTAGAGCTGAAAATTGTTGTGCAGAATGGGTAAAAAAAAAAAAAAAAAAAGGTGTGGGGAGGGAGGGTAAAGGAGTCAGGATTTTGGGAAGGGTGAGGATGAGTCCTACAGGCAGGAATTCCATAACTCCAAGCCTAGAACCACGGTGTACCTGCACACTGAGGGAGGGGGAGGCTCCAGTTGCCAGAGTCGGTGCAGTGGATGGATGCCTGTCCCAGGAGGCTGTAGCCAGGGTCACAGCTGTAGTTCACAACCATCCCGGTGGGAAAAACCTCCAAGTCCTGGCTGTCGTGGTTTCCTTTGTCAATATTTGGAGGTGAAGGGCATTGCAGCACTGAAGAGAGAGGACAAAACAAAATTGAGCAAAGGGCAGGGCTGTGACACTGGGACAGGCTGGGGAAAGCTGGGGTTGTTCAGCCTGAAGAAAAGGCTCCAGGGAGACCTTAGAGCCTCTTCTGGTGCCTAAAGGGGCTCCAAGAGAGCTGGGATGGAGTGACAGGAATGGCTTCCCACTGCCAGAGGGCAGAGATGGATGGGATATTGGGAAAGAATTCCTCCCTGAGAGGGTGGGCAGGGCTGGCACAGGGTGCCCAGAGCAGCTGTGGCTGCCCCTGGATCCCTGGCAGTGCCCAAGGCCAGGCTGGACGTTGGGCTTGGAGCACCCTGGGATAGTGGAAGGAGTCCCTGCTCATGGCAGGGGTTGATGAACTGGTTTGAAGCTTCTTTAACTCAGTGTCATAGGAAAAGAATCACTATTTTCAGGAGTCTGCCCATACCATTCCCTCTTCTGGAGGGTTAAGGAGAAATTACAAAGCTTCAGTGCACAACAATTTAAACAAATTAGAAGAAGCTGCAAAATTACTTTTGCAAAACTCCTGGGCTTCAGACCACGTTAGATTTTCAAGACATGTGATAGTTGGTGATATCTGTGGCTGTTCCACGTATCCAGGTCGACAAGTGTAGTTCACAGTCGTCCCAACAGGAAACTCAGTCTGATTTTCATATTCCTTGCTTAGCTCAGCAAACAGCAGCGACGTTGGTGTGTCACAACCGGCTGCCAAGAAACAAAATGGGCATGAGGAAAATGTCCTTGGCTGTGAAATGCAGCTAAAGAGAAACAGGTGCATTGATAGGCACTGTTAAACCCCGAGTTATTAAAGCATCTTCTATGTAGCCTGACATTTGTCTGCCTCAAATAACACTCAGCATGTAAGGGACACAGGCACGTCATTTATATGGTCTTAAAAAAAACTCCTGCCTTCACACAACTCTGGGCTGTAGAGTACAGAAATCTTTCATTTCAATATTTAGAACATCCAAGCCTCTCTCCTTTTGGGAAACTTGAGCAATGCCACCAGCTCACTCCCAGTGCCACCACAGTGAGCACAGCTCCTGCGTGTGGTTCTGCCTACACCATGCAACCGTGCAGGCCGGCAGGTTTGCCTGATCCAGGGTGAGCCTGGCACGGGATGGGTGCTCAGCCTGGCACGGGATGGATGCTGAGCCTGGCATTGAATGGATGCTCAGCCTGGCACGGGATGGATGCTGAGCCTGGCACGGGATGGATGCTCAGCCTGGCACGGGATGGATGCTCAGCCTGGCACGGGATGGATGCTGAGCCTGGCATTGAATGGATGCTGAGCCTGGCACGGGATGGATGCTGAGCCTGGCACGGGATGGATGCTCAGCCTGGCACGGGATGGATGCTCAGCCTGGCACGGGATGGGTGCTCAGCCTGGCACGGGATGGGTGCTCAGCCTGGCACGGGATGGGTGCTCAGCCTGGCACGGGATGGATGCTGAGGCAATCCCACCTGCACAGCGTGGGTAGGGAAGGCTCCAGTTGCCCCAGGCCGTGCACAGGAGCGAGGGGTCCCCGAGCAGGGAGTAGCCAGGCTGGCAGCTGTAGCTCACGGAGGTGCCACTGCTGAAGTTGGTCCCTGGCTGGGCGCTGAGCGTGGCGTGGGCAATGACGGGGGGCGGCGGGCAGAGCAGCACTGCAGGGCAGGAGCAGAGATTTAGGGTTGTACCCAGAGCTGGCACCTCAGCAAAGCCCCTCACAGCTGGCTCACCTGGCTGGCAGGTGGGCACAGCGGGCACCCAGCTGCTGTCGGGCTGGCACTCGGCCCCACGGCTGCCCCTCAGCACGAAGCCCGGGTGGCACTGGAAGGTGACGTTGTCCCCAGGGTGGTACACAGCCCTCTGGCCCTCTGCCACCTCCCCGTCCTTGATCCTGGGGCTGCTGCAGGTGATCGCTGGGAGGAAAAAAAGCAGCAGAGCTCGGGGTTGGGGAGCAGCTGCCAGAGCAGAGGGATCCTCCCCTGGTTTTGGGAGCTGTGTGAGCACAGCACTCTCCTCCCCACTGTGGGTAACAGCATTTCCAGCTCACCTTCACACAGGGGGTAAGGGATGCTCCAGACTCCCGAGGGCAAACAGGAAACCGTGGTTTTTCCAGTGAGGACGTACCCAGGGTCACAGTGGTACTTCACTGACATGCCAGGGAAGAACTCCCTCACACCCTTGCTGTCGTGCTGGCCATTTCTGATCACTGGAGGGGAAGGACATGGTGGCACTGCAAGGAGAGGAAAAAGTCTCAGCTAGCCAAGAGCTGGCACCACAAACCCCCCCTGTAGGGTCAGGCAGCCCTTTAACTTTGAATGGGGATTAAGAGGATGGCAGGACGGGGACGTGCACGTTTTTCCTTCCCAGCCCTTGAGAGCAGCCCCTTTTCCTCTACACAGAGGTTCAGGAATCAGCTGAACCACCCTGCCCTCATTTGCACTTACACTTCTCACAGGTGGGGACAGGAGGGTGCCACTTGCCCCCAAACTGGCACTGAGACTCTTGAGAGCCCTTCAAGGCATAACCGAGGTTGCACTCGAAGAAAACAGAGTCCTCCAGCATGAAGGTGGTCTCCAACCCAGAGGCTTTTCCATTCTCGATTTCTGGCCTGGTGCAGCCAATTGCTGGAAGGGAAGAGCAGGAGGGTGAGAAGAGCTGGGGATGTGAAACCCATCCTGGATGTGGAGGGGCACTGAGCAGGGACAGCACCTGCTGCTGAGCCTTGCCATCAACGGGCATTTCAGCATTGCTGACTCTTGCTCTTACACAAAATATCATTATTCAGCTGCTCCTGAGCGTTTGTACCCAGTAGGAACAGAAAGGGAAACACAGAGAGGCACATGGGGCGCCTCTGGGCTCTGCCTCTCCGCGGGGATTTGGGTGCAGTGATTAAACCAAGAGCCAAGAAGGAGGAAAGAGCCCGGGGGACAGGCAGGGGAGGTGACAGGAGCACACCTTGGCAGCGGGGCTGGGGCCGGCTCCAGGTTCCCTTGGCCGTGCAGCGGATGGAGGCGTTCCCCAGCATGGAATAACCCTCGGCACACGAGTAGAGAACCAGCGAGCCCGGGCTGTGCCTGGCACCGGGGCTGGCACCGTGGCGCCCGTTGGCAATGCTGGGGGGGGCAGGACACCACACCTCTGCCAGGGACAGGGAGAGGCACGTGAGAAATAAGGACAGGGCAAGAAAAATCACCAACAATCCAACCTTCTGCAAACAAAGGAGGGAGACAGCACAAGGGCAGTCACTCGGGACAAGGTGATAAACTTTTCCAGGAGCTTTCCTTAGCTCGTTTCTCCATCAGAGACCAGCATCCTGCTTTTTAGAGCTTTGTCAGGAGCAATACATCAAATTAAATTGTAATGAAAACTGAAGCAATAATAGTACTTTCCCATCAGCAACAAAAAGAAAAAGCTGTTATACCAAAACGCTGCTCAAATAAGCATTTCATGCGTAGGAAAACGATTAAGAAAACTGTAAATCCTCCGGGTTGCTTTGAACGCTGACATTAACTGCTGTGAGTAAATAAATAATAAAAATAAAAATAAATAAAAATAAATAAAAATAAATAAAAATAAATATATAACTAAATAAAAATATAACTAAATAAAAATATAACTAAATATAAATATAACTAAATATAAATATAACTAAATATAAATATAAATAAATATAAATAAATAAAAAATAATAAAAATTAAATATAAATAAATGAGGAATTGAATAAATAAATAAATAAATAATAAATGAAGTCAGAAGAGTGTGAGCTGTCCCCCCACGCCCCTTGTGCCAGGAACAGTCAGATCTGGCTGTGGGCACACCCCGAGCTGTACCTTGGCACCGTGGCACTGCCCCACTCCACGTGCCATGCTCCCCATCCACAGAGGTGCAGGACAGGGAGGTGTTTCCAGCTGGGGTCAGCCCCGAGGCACAGGTGTAGGTGACCACGTCCCCGAAGGAGAAGCTGGCCCTGGAGCCCCCGCTGTGTGTGCCCTGGGGGATGGCAGGAGGGGCAGCACAGGTGATACCTGTGGGCAGGAAAGGGCACGGTCAGCACTGCCCAGGGAGGGCACTGATGGACAGGAAACCACCTCAGCAGTGACGCAACGACTTGAATTCTCCAGGAACAAACTTTACATGGAAAAAAAAATCACACGTGACCCCTGTGAGTCACTTCCTTGCTGCCCGTATCTGGAGGTGCTGGGACAATCCTCACCTCCCTTTCCTTAACCATCGGTGACACAGAGGGAGAGGCTGGCCAGTGAGAAATACTTACCCACTAACAGGCAGTTTAAAATATTCATGTTTCTTCCCAGTTTGGACCAGAACAAACGAAATACATTTTAAACCATTTTCAGAAGCATATCCAAAACAAAATGAAAAAAAAAAAAAAGGAAATATTTTACACATTCGGTGACAACAAAACCTTTGGCTTGAAGGAAGTTCCACTTTATCCTGTAAAGCATCTCCAAGGGCCTGTTGTGGTGGCCTACTTACGCTGGCAGACAGGAGGATCCCCACTCCACGAGACATCTGTGCCAGAGACCTCACAAATTCTGTGCGAGCCTCCCACCAGCTTGTACCTGGACCACACAGAAGCATTAATTAATTTAACAGCGAGATTTTCTTGAGATTTCTTTAAAACCCTTGCAAGTGGCAGCCAAGAGTTCTGACTTGGCAACTGGGTTGTGTAAAGCTGAAAATCCACTTCACTCTCACCGGGGCAGGACTCACCCTTTGTCACAAATGTAATTGATTTTGGATCCGAAGAGGAGATCTGTCAGGACAACAGCTCTGCCATTCTCTGGGTTCCCTGGGGTGGGACACTGCTTTCCTGGAAGGGAATGCCAGCCTCTGTCAGCCCTGAGCTCTGCTCCCATCCCAGCCACAGGGAGCAGCCAGAGACACCCACAAAAAAAGCTGGAAAAGCTGGAAAAGCTGGAAAAGCTGCCAAGCCTCACGCTTGAGGTGTCCAGCACTTGCAGGACGTACTTTTACAGAACTCCAGCGCTGCAGACCACGTCTGGTTGCTGAGGCAGGTGACTGCTGGTGACGCCCCCAGCAGCTGCGTGTAGCCAGGCTGGCACTCGTATTCCACCCTGCTCCCCTCGGGAAACACCGTCTGGTTCCTGTAGGGCTCCTTCAGCTCGGCAAAGCCCAGCCTGGCAGGGGCTCTGCAGCCAGCTGCCAGGAGAGAGACACAGCCTGGGTGTTAAAGAGCCAGAAAAAGTGGATTTGGGAGGGCAGGAGAGGGTTAATGCCCTGTTGGGACACTTGCCCTGCTGGCAGACTGGCACAGGCGGCTCCCAGGTGTTGTTTGGTTGGCACTGGACCTCTCTGTGGCCACGAATGGCATAGCCTGGGTCGCATTCAAAGGTCACCGTGTCCCTGTGTGAGTAGGCAGACCTGGGAGCCACGATCCTCCCATTCTGGATCTGTGGGACAGGGCAATTCGCCGCTGGAAAAAAAAAAAAAATAAAAATGTGCAGGTGCTCAAAACAGGCCCTCAGGCAGAGCTGTGCAGCTGTGAAGCCACCAAGGATTGCAATTTTAAGACACAAGCCTGAAAATCATTTTCCTAGAGATGATGCTATGCCTGCATCCTGCAGTATCAAACATCTCCAAGGGGAAAGGGGATCCCGGGGCAGCAGGGTGGCCCCTCCAGCCTCCCCTGCTCCGCCCTTGCAAATGCCAGGGCAAGAATTCCACCCGGCTGGAGTTTGCCAGTGTTTCCCAGCACGGAGCAGCAGTGCTGGGAGGGTCTCTGGGAGGGTCCCTGCAGGCTGATCCAGCCCAGCCCCACCTCCGCAGGCGGGCAGGGGCTCGCTCCACACGCCGTTGTAGCCGTCACGGGTGGTGCAGTGGATGGAGGGCTCCCCGTGCAGAGGGAAGCCGGCGTTACACGTGTAGGTCACCGAGCTGCCGTAGTGGAACTCGTCCTGCAGCCTCCCCGTGTGCTTCCCGTTGGGGATGTCCGGAGGGGGCTCGCAAGGGATGCCTGTGCGGAGGTGCAGAACAAGGTGTGTCAGTTCTACAGCAGCACCCAAAGCACCTGGCATCCTCAGTTTGTGAGGCACAAACACTTGTTCTAGAGATGGAATGAAGGGAGCTCCCAGGTCCCCACCCACACCCCTGGCAGGTAGAAGGCAGAGCAGCAATCAAAGCTCTGTGGAGGAAACACCTGCATGCTTTGCCTTTTCTACTTTTTAAGAAATAAGAAATCAAATACTTATTTTGCATCACTTGTGTCAAATCCTGGTGCCAGGATGTGCAACAGGCACAGTCCGTGTGTCACCTGTGCCTCACACCTCCCTGGAGAATCTGAGAAATGCTTTAAAACCCCAGAATGTACCAGCAAATATTTCTTTCTTCGTATGAAACTGTCCCCTGCTCAGCCACACTACCTGATCAGCAGAGAAACCTCCAGGTGGAATTGCTGAGGAGCAGCACAGCAGCTCCTGGGCACTCACCAGTGCTTGCAGAGAGGGAGCAAGCCCATGGGATGGAATTTGGGGTCACTGCTGGCCCTGGCTCAATGCTCTGTCTCTCCCTAGGACTGACCCTTGGTCTCTCTGGGTCTGACAAAACAACCCCCAAGCTGAACCTGTATTCCCCTCCTCTCCTGCACTGGTGTCAGTCAGCAGCAGGACACTCAAGCACTGCTGGAAAAGCTCCAGCTCAAGTGCTGCTTTCCATAATCCCATAAAATTTGGGATCTTGTACCCTTTCCAGACTGCTTTCTTATGAATTCCAAACATTCTGATAATTTTCCTCCCTACAGAGCAGAGAAATTGCCTGTGAAAGCTTTGATTGGAAAGATGTGGAAGTCTCTGGTGGAAAATATTTCCCAGATCCATGCAAACCCCCAGAGCCACGAGCTACTCACGCTGACAGATGGGAACGTCCCCACTCCATGCAACTCGTCCCCTAAAGATCTTACAGTGTCTGCTGGGTTGTCCAATTAACCTGTGCCTGGTGTGAAAAGGATTGGTCATTCATTCAGTTGCAGTTATTGCTCCTCCCCAGCACCTGGGATGGGGGATCTGCCCTGTGGCCCTGAACGGGAGGTTCCTTCCTTGCTCTCCTGACCCATTTCCCAATATTTATGTGTATAGGCACAATGGTGAGCCCCTCATGTGCTCTGTAGGTACAGAACCTGGCACGGGGGCTTCTGTACAGAATCCATTTACTGGGAGTGAATGAAAAGGGATTAAAAAAGGGGACACTCACCTAATCCATCTCCAAACCAGGACTTACCCTTCTTCACAGCTGTAAACCACTGTAGACCCAAGCTGGAAATCTGACTGGGAAATAATCTTGCCATTCATAGGCTCACCAGGGTGACTGCACTGTTTCCCTGGGAAAGGAAAACACCCTTAATTCAGGCTCCTGTCTCTCTACACCCCAGTACAAAATATGCAATTATTCCTCCAGTCCCCTGCCCACACATTCCCAACACGAGTTTCCAACAACAAAGAGTTACATGGCTTTACTAGTCACATATTCAGAATCACATCAAGGTTTTGGCAGCATGGACAGAACCTGGGACCTGATCCTCCTGCAACAACGAACACCAAAGCAAGGAGCTATTCACTTTTACAGAACTCTAGTGCTTCTGACCACACTCCGCTCTCAAGGCATGTAATAGTAGGTGACATTCCTGGGACTTTAGCATATCCAGGGCGGCAAGTGTATTGCACGGTCTTCCCAACAGAAAAACCAATGGCATTTCTATGCTCCTCATTTAGCTCAGCAAACTGTAACCTTGTGGGAGGATCACAAGCACCTAGTGAGAGAGAAAAGAGAGGTGAGAAGCAGGCAGGACAGGCACATGGGGGGCAGGCACACAAAGAGCACTGTTAGGAGGAAAGGGGTTTGGTTTGCCTTGTAAAAACGTGTATTTTTATTAATATAGCCATTAATAAACACATTTTCCAAAAGGATTGCAGAAGATTAGGTTCTTATTCCCAGGGTAGGCTTAAATCTTCCCCTCAAAAAGTTTAACAACATGTTTTAAACAGGATTAGAAGATACAAAACAGCCTTGTACCCCGAGGCAGTTCTGCCATGTACCTGGAGGCCTGCGGGAGGAGTTCTGGTAAGGCAGGGCTCTGTGACACTCGGGAGCAGGGGGCTGCCAGCTGCCATCCTGCTGGCAGGACACGCTGGCACTGCCCTGCAGGCTGTACCCATCCTGGCACCGAAATGTCACCGACTGCCCGGGTGCAGAGAGAGGTCCCTGGCCACCAATTTGCCTTCCATTCTCTACGGTTGGATTGATGCAGACAGTCCCTGGGAATGAGGGTGTGCAGGAGTCGGAGGAAAATCAAGCACAAAAGCACAAATTGTTCATATTGCAACAACAAAATCAGCGTGATGTCCACACAAACCTCCCCAGCCATAGGAGGGCTTGACTTTAATTGATTCCACGAGACACTTTAGATGGAATTAACCCTCTTGGAGGATCTCTTTGCACTGGTGAGAGTGTCCCCTGTGCCCAGAGCCACACCAGAGTTTGTCCCCTGAGGGGACAGAGCCCAGGCTCACCTTCACAGCGAGGGCGGGGCTGGCTCCAGTTC